AAAAACAATGCCATAATTGTGATCTACTCTGAAATACCTTCAATTTGAGTATAATATAGCCATACTTTGAGGAGATTAGAAAATAATTGCGAAATCCCGCATTAGGCGGCCATTTTGAATTTTTTGAGGCCCGAATAAAAAAAACGCTACAATATTTACAATCTCCTCTAAATTGCCTTTCATTTGAGAATAATAAAGCTATACCTCAAAAACATCTCAAAATTAACGCAAATTCCTGTTTTCCCGATCCCCCATTTACGGCCCCTGGGGGTCAGGGTGAAAACCCGGGATATATGTGAAATAGATAGATAATTGTTAATATACTACCAAAATTACAATTAATAATATTTATTATTTTAGTTTAAAATGAAAAACATAAGATTTTTGCGAAAAATTCCCGCCATTTTTAAACTGGCGGCCATCTTGAAAAAAGTTTTTTTGCATAAAACTATTGACCAGTATACATCTTTCCACCAAATATGAAGAAAATCTGTCCACTAGTATTCGAGTTATCTTCCGGACAGATGGACGGACTGACAGACTGACGGACTGACGGACGGAGGGCTTCACTATACTATACTACTTCATTCGTTGGGATAATGATGTAAAATAAAATAAAATAAGCTGGAAATTCAAATAGAACTTTCAAAATGGGAATTTTGTATTGAAGTGTCATATTTTATATTTATCCCATCAAACGAAGTTCGGAGGGATATAGGGAACGCCTCCGTCCATCCGTCTGTCCATCTGTCCGTCCGTCCATCTGTCCGTCCATCCTTACACGTACGTACGTCCGTCCGTCCGTCCGTCCGTCCGGGCAATAACTCAAATACCGTTGGCCCGATTTTGTTCATATTTTGTACACATATACCCTATGGGGGTAGAAGTTCTGCTTGAAAGCTGATTTTCAAAATGGCCGCTCATTTAAAAATAGCGGCCATTTTAGTGCCGATTTTACAGTAATTTAGGTGCAATATGTAAAACTGTAATAGCAATATGTTTTAAATGTAAAAAAATTATTTAGGACATTGATAAAGCTAGAAATATAGATATTAAAGAAGCACATGGCAGCCATCTTGACGATTTGTACTTTACGATTTTTGCTGTAACTCAAGAAGTAGTTGTTCATATTTGGTATGTGAATACTATAAGCATGGCTCACTGTCTAATGACACTTTTGGTAAGAGGCGGCCATTTTGAAAAATGGCCGCCATTTTAACATATTTTACTATAACTCGAAAAGTAGAGGAGCGATTTTGTTCATATTTGGTATGTGAATGACATAAGCATGGCACACTGTCTAATGACACTTTTGGTAGAAGCTGGCCATTTTGAAAAATGCCTGCCATTTTAACGTATTTTACTATAACTGGAAAAGTGGTGGAGTGATTTTGTTCATATTTGGTATGTGAATACTATAAGCATGGCACACTGTCTAATGACACTTTTGGTAGAAGGCGGCCATTTTGAAAATTTTTAAGTATTTTACAATAACTCGAAAAGTAGTGGAGCGATTTTGTTCGTATTTGGTATGTGAATACTATAAAGAAAAAGCATATTACTTCTTCTGATGACAACTTGGCTAGTGAGCAACCGTTTTGAAAATGGTGGCCTTTCTTATGTGTGTTATTTTATGATATTTGCTATATATTTCGTTTGTAAAAATGCCAGCCATTTCTGTTCGATGGGATTCGCTACGCTTTGGTGTTGCCGTTGTTCTGGTTTATATATTGTTCAATCTTACAAATATTATTCATTGAGGTATTGAGTTTTGATTTCTGGAAAAAGCTTGAGAAAAATGAACCTGAAACTGACAAAAAAACATATCTTGATGTCTTTAGATTAATTTCGTTGATGAGAAATGTTGCAACTCACTTCACTCAAACCAGTGTTATAATGATCAAAGTAAAACAATGATGCCATCTAACCATCCTTAACCTCTTGAATCCCAGGCTCTAAAATCAGTTGAAACCAGAGAATTTTTCATTTTTGCCACCATTTGACATTTTACTACATACCTATACAACTATAGAAGCTCAACTTAGTAATTTTAGACGGCAGAGAACATTTCTACACATTTTAAAACAATTTTTGTGTAAACTGGATGAAAATTGTTCAAATAAGAGCAATTTTAGTGAAAAAATTTGTGCTGATTTTCTCATCACTCTGGGTTTCAAGGTCATTTCTGAGGAGACGAAATCTCGTCACTACAGGTATTCAAGAGGTTAAGCTATCAACACCATGAATATGGAAAATGTATGTTCTGAGAACATAAAAATGTATTCTAATTCAGTTTACTATAATATAGCGATTTCATATTATTTGAAAATGGATTTAACAATATTAATCCTGGTCTGGCTCTCATCTGCACCCCTAATGTGTTATTTTCTTTGTTATCAAAGGAAGGGATAGCTAGCATGAGAGGATTACAGACGACTACCATCCATGGTCATCTGTGTTCTGCCATGGAAATGGGACTTCCTGTTGATGTCAGTCGTTTAGGGCTCACAGAGAAACTTAAAGAAACTATCATTAATGTTATAAGAGGGCCACCAATCAACTCAGGTAGATGGGCTTTACTTCCCTTTGCGATAATGCAACTTTAACTCCACAATTTAGACTTGAGATGATTCTAATGATTAAGCCTCAAAAATCTTGTCATCAAATTCCAGGAAAACTGCTAATTTGTTCAATTTTTACAGATGTAAGAGTAGTGGCTATAGACTAGTGCCATAATCTGACCAGGTTTTTGGAATGCTGGATAGTATATTACTTGGTGGCCATTTTTCCTTTAATTGTTGCAGTTGTTGATAGGATGACTACAGTTAAAGATAAGTGTGATATTGATTACTGTATGTCGTGTTTCTATTATTGCTCATTTGTCAGTTGATCTTGTTGCAGTTGTTGACAGGATGACTACAGTTAAAGATAGGTGTCCAGACTGGGTGGAGTTTAAAGACATTAAATTAGTTCTTACAATGATGAAGAAAGAGTTTGGAGTAGATGGTGATAGAATCTTGGGCGGAGAAAACTGGGAGAAGGTCAGTTAGCTTGTTTAGTTTCAGTTTCAGTTTCACTTTTGAATAACATACTTTTCAGAGATTTAATTAAAACAAATTAGTTTTTGAATGGATTTCTATTGTAGTTTGTATCGCGTGACACAAAAAATGACACCCACTACATAATGTTTCAGACTTGTTTTTCGCACATTAAAAACTACAATCCATTTCGCAACTGCAAAAGAAGTCTCAGATGACTAGCTCACCTAGATGCACATTGATCAGCGTTACTAAAGGTGTCGTCTATTCTGGCACAACTGGATCTTACACAAAAAATGATACCCATTTTTTGTAACATAATTTTTTGGGAAATAAGTTCTAATGATTTTATCAATGACAACTACATTATTTTGTGTTTAATTGAATGGACAAGATCATCAGTGTTTACAAAGTTATGTTACAAAAGCTGGGTGGCATTTTTTTGTGTAGACTCTGCAGAGGAATGGACAATATTTAGAGCAAATGTTGTAACGCTCATAAAATTTGACCCACTTGAGTTACACATCTGAAATTTCTTGAAGTGCTTTTGCATTATGTCTCCTTTAAATGTGCCAAAGGACAAGTCTATATGGGAATGGACAAACAAGTTATGCAACGAAAGATGGGTGTCATTCTTTTGTGTCACCCTGTACATAAATATAATGGTAATTTAATGCAAAAATTGGTTTGCAGAATTTGATATTAGGTGAAATACTTCAAAGTTCTAATTCACTAAAGTGATGCTTTAACATTAACCCCTTAAATCCTCATAGTGACAGATATATCAGTCATAGAATCTCTCACTAAATTTTCTCTACCCTTGACATATTTAGTTAAATCTACACAAGCTGTCTATTACTTGTATTTTATAGAATATGAATTTTCTAAAACTCTGTTGCAGGCAAAAGAAACACCACCCCTGCATTCAGTACTTTCTGTGACCTCACCATCTAATCAGACTAGTGTGATGCCATCATTAGTGAAGTCACAATCAACAAACAATGCCTCACAATCAGCAAACAAGGCCTCACAATCAACAAACAATGTCGAGAAAAAACGTAAATTACCAATATCCTTGATTGCTCAGCAAAGCCACCCAAGTCAGGCTTTGTCAAAGAAAATGAAAAAGAATAGTTTATTCAACCGCTAGTTGTGAAATCATGCTAAAATATATTTTCTGAAGAATCATGTTACCACATATAAGTTGTTATGGCAACCATTTTTAATTTTTATGACCAGCTTATAGCATCATTGGCATTTGTAACAGATTGTTACACTTTTATAATTTCAATCAGATGGTGAAATATAATACCTTGTAATTCTTGTGATAAATTCACTAAATAGAAAATATTCTAGAATAATTGATGAATTCACAACATGTTAAATTCACAATTTGAACAATAACTGATTGGTTGATTTGTTGCTTATGGGTATGTGTGGCTGTCTGGTTGGGTAGGTGCTACAGACATCTTGTCAGCAAAATTCCAAGTAAACTGTTTACCTGTTAAACTTGCATTTTTAGAGATGCAAAAGCAGACTTAAGTTTGTTCTGTTGAGCTAAATAAGTGATTGTTGAATTAAATAATTAAGTAATTGTCGAGTGTCATGTGAGGAAATGCATGCAAAGATAATGTGAGAAATGAAGCTGTTAGGAATGTTTTATGTGTAATAGTTCCATGTTAAGTAATATGCTTTTTAAAAAGCTTCATTAATCACTCCTTTAGTTTTCTGCATTTGAAATTAATGAATTCTGCAGGAAAAAGCCCAATTCCGCAGGATCTCTCAGCATTTGTAATGAAAATTAAGACCATGATCATTTCCTGCAGTGATCTACAACTATTTGACAACAAAAAACGGAATTCTAGGATGAGTGATTGTATATACAGTCTCATCAGTACAAGATAACTTGCTTTTCAGAAAACCAAACTTCCATACACTGTCTAGATACAAATATAATAACAATGATTTCTCAGTATTTATTGACTTTGGAAGATTTTGTTACATAATGGCTTGAATAATTTGCTTTGATAACAAAATAGGTGCCAAATAAAAAGCTTGAAATAGCTTTAATATAATGTAGTCCTCCATGAATATGTGTTTACCTGTTTTGATTTAACCAAATGTTATTTTGTTTTGGAGTTATCATTTTTGTACCTTTCTGTATATTTTGTTTAAAAAGTAAAATCATGTATAAATGTTTATAAAAGAGACTAAAATGTTGGTATCTGAATTCCCACTTGGATTACCCAGTCAATGATATTCCATTTTCCCTTTTCAGTATAATATGACAACATGAAACCTTGGAAACGTTTAAATATGAAGAAAATATTCTTCTATGTAAGCTAATGAATCTTGCAAGAAATCACAAATTATCACAATTTTAACATCAATTCCTGGTTTTATTGAATCTATCCATGTTGATGACAATGGGACAAATTAATGAGAAAAATACTGCTGAAGCTACATAAAGTCTCTATCATCAAATGGCTTTGTAGGCTTCAAACTTTGCAACTTTTCCATTTCAATAATGTTTTTTTCTTTCAGCTCATAAGCCATTAAAGTTTTCAAAAGTTGCACATTTTTGTCCAATTGTTTGATGTATTCTCTGTCAGACTTCTCTAGGAGTGATTTCCTACTATGAGTATGAGGGAGTATCACCTCTCTGATGACATCATGTTTGTAATTGTTCCATTTTACTTCAGCTTTGTACAATTTAAGGATTGTTTCCTCAGATGGGTAACTAGAAGTGAGAAGAATCGTCAAGTTAAGTTTCACTTGAACCCATTTTTTAAAGTATTGTGAATTATTTCTCTTTTGAAATTGTCTTAATTGTCTGTGATATTGCTATGATTAAATAATGGAGGTGATTGTATTAATTAAAGGAGTAAACAAGACAAGAACAAGTTAATCTTAGTCTGGTGTAAAGTCTAGCGACCTATATACACTTATTATATCTTACCAGTTTAGCATTGCTTCCTGTTGTATCAAATCCAAACCCTGTTTGGAGAGTGTTTTGAAGAATGTCTGCTTTGGGATCCGTAGTAATCTACATCCCCCACTGACTAAAGTGAGATAACCCATCGTGAATGGTGGCTTTCTTTTGTACTCTCTTACTATATTTGCCAAATCCTACAAAAGATTGTTCTTTACATACATTGCCTCACATACCCATTCTCTGTTGTTGCCATCCCTATGTGAAAACTTTCATTACTGTACATATACTTTTTACTCAATAATACAGTGTACTTACAAATATATCTCCAGGAATAAGCTTCCCAATATCTATAAAGTGTTTCCCACTCTCCTGAAGTCTGTGGCATATAAGACTATGAGGTGTGACCACTCTGCTTGGGATTCTGTTGGCTGTGCTTGAAACATCATTTGTTACTGAATGGTCATTTCTATCATTATAAGTGTCTTCATATGTGTATGTTGTTGTTGTAATCATCTCAAGCATTCTTTCCTTTGCTACTATGCTTTTCTTTCTGGATAAATCCCTTTGTGTAATTTCACTTTCTGAAAAAGAAAATTATAATGCAATAACATGTTAAAAATTACTATACAAATCAAAATCTTCAGAAAGGGGTAATAAATATCAATGAGTCTAAATCTCACTTGGCTGAACTTGCACCTATTCATTGCTTGTTATTCAGATTTACACAAGTAGGACAAATATGATTCAGACCAATGGAAAGCATCGACCCATTCAGAAATAAAGCACATCTCAAGTTTTACATTGTCATATATTGTCTTATAGGTTACCTGGTGTAGTAAGATCATCATCTTGTTCACAAACTTGAATATGGGCTGCATGGGGACTTCTGTAAGATTGCTGTGAGGCTTTTCTACTTGCTTGTATTGTTACATTATGGAGCAGACATTTCCTAATTCTACAACTGCCCTGAAAAGGAGAGCATGAAATAATTGCATTCTTATCTCTTAAAAATGTTCCAACCTGTAGTCTACAACCTGTATCTTACACTATAAAGGAGGTCTTTAAGAGTAACCAATACTCATCTTTAAGGTTATGTACTTTTTCAGAGGTGGTCTTTAAGGGTATAGGTTTACTAAAAGTGGCCATGAAGGGCTCGCCTCAATACAATGATTAGTGACCTTTAAGGTACGGACTCCTCAAATGTGGTATTTAAGGGAATACTCACCAAATGTGGTATTTAAGGCTAAAGACTCACCAAATGTGGTATTTAAGGGTATATACTCACCAAATGTGGTATTTAAGGCTACAGACTCCTCAAATGTGGTATTTAAGGGTATATACTCATCAAATGTGGTATTTAAGGCTACAGACTCACCAAATGTGGTATTTAAGGGTATATACTCACCAAATGTGGTATTTAAGGGTATATACTCACCAAATGTGGTATTTAAGGGTATATACTCACCAAATGTGGTATTTAAGGGTATATACTCACCAAATGTGGTATTTAAGGATACAGACTCACCAAACTGATTCACTAAAAGAGGTCATAAAGGACATGCCTCCACCAAAATATGTAAACATTCCAAAAGATTCCTCAAAGGTGGTATTTAAGGGTAAAGTCTTGCCAAAACAAGGCGTTTAAGGGTACAGACTCACCCAAAGTCAGACCTTTCCAAAGGTATCACTGATTCACTAAAAGTGGTCATAAAGAACTAGTATACCTCCATGCAAATATGAACCCATTCATCTTCTGTGTTATTTGCCACAACCACCTTTCCAGCCCTATGTTCCTGGAGTTGGCATTCATAGGCCAGTCCTTCTACTACATGCTTCTCCCATAGACTCTTCAACAGTGGAAGCTTTCTGAAAGATGTACAGTTCATCAATGTTTTATCTTTATATGTATATGACATTCTACATAAAATAATTGAGGCTGCAGCAAGAGAATAAGATGTTTAGCATATAGCAGTAATCTCATCTATTTGAACAATAATATAGGTGTCTAACATAATTCTGAGGATATAAGAAAAAGTTCATTCCTCATTATCATTATAAAGGCTAAAATCTTAAATACCATATTATCGGATTATAACTTATTTAACCAATAACTTTAAATTCCACAAACCTTATATAATCAACTTTCTCTTGGTGCTCTATATCAAATATCTTAGGGCATATTTTTGCAAAAATGTCCCTTTCTATTACAAGCAGTTCGCACTCTTCGCGACATGTGACAGTTGCAGTTCGTGGAATATCCTTTAATAGTGCAACCTCCTAAAACAGTAAACTAATGCTTAAACAAACAACCAAGCATGGTAGCTCTGATCTTGAACTTCACTGTCATTTCTTGTATGTTTGAACCTAACCTTAAACCTCACCCTGATTTCATACAAATCTTGTGAATCAATTGTCCATAACCATGACGATTTAATTATTGCATGCATGAGTTAAATGTGCTTTGCAAAATGAACATCTCTAAAGGAAATCCTAGCTCATTACACTCCAACTATTATATTGCCCTGTTGATTTTTATGGAAGTTTGAAAGTGATCTGATATCAGGTTCTAGGTAGAAACTGTAATTGATTTTCTGACTCCATATTTGGACTCAATAATAAGCCTTAGAACAAAGAATTATTTTACATTCAAAAAGATGAAGGTGAAGGTATCTAAATGGAAAATGAATGAAAGTATTTTACCCCAAATGAATCTCCTCTGGTGAGGACACGTTCGGTCTTGCTGAATGTATTGCCGTGCTGATCAAAGTGTTGGATGTTAATGAACACAGAGCCGGAGAAGATGAAGTAGAAATAGATCCCAGTGTGACCCCTTCTCAGAATTACTCTTTCTGGCTCCACTCTACAATGAAACAAATAATCAGGTTAGATTTGAAAAGGAATATTGGAAAATCTTGAGAATGTTACAGAAACTATCTTGAAGTTGATAACAATAATTTGACTTCACGAAATATTCAACTAGTCAAATAGAAAAACAAGGTATTTAGATGCAATATGTCACAACTTGCCATTTGTTACAGATGCTGAATGCCAAACACCAAAAGCTTAAAATCATCAACAATAAAAGTTGGAGACTATAACTGTTACAATAGGTCACCACTTGTAGTGGTTAGTGAAACAAGAAAATGAGGACTTGCATTTTACCTTACATAAGACATAGAACGGCACAATGCAAGTTGTATTGTCTCTGTGAATTTGTTGAAACCTCGGAGGCCACGCAACAAGGCATGAAGTCTTCTACAGTCAACCTCAGACCGATCCCCTGCTGGTTGGTCTGTTACTAGCCTTGCCCAATAAGGAAATCGTGCAAAAGACTAAATAGTAAATAATAAACATGTATTAATTTGATTAAAAAAGACACTCTCACTTTAAGATTTTCCATTGCCTGCTTGTTCCTTCATGCCACCTCCTTGCTTGCCACTTGCTTAATTTTGTACTTCCATTTTTTCAGTCTATTTTTTTATCAAAAATTTCCTTGAAAAGTCAGTATATTATTCAGTACTATAAGTTATCGATATACTGTATTGGCACTCGACCTCGCTCTCTCCAATACCACCGTGAATACAGAATTTCTCGAGCAGAATATATCCTGTATTGCACTTCAAATCATTCTATAACTTTTTATCGTGTGATCCTCTGTATTGCTACTGAGAATGTCCCCTCCGTACAAATATTTTCTGTATTGCGACGGAGATGATCAATGGAGACAATCACAGTAGTAATACAGAGTGTTACAGCCCAAGAACTGACCAATCAGGAGGCTTCATTTTACAAAGTCATACGATAAATATTTGTGCTTAATTTTACAATATCAAAGTCAGTACATTTTCGGAATATAAATATACTTAATTTTCTTAGAAAACAAGTATGTTTCTATATAAACATGTACTAAAAAGCTGCTTTTTGAATAAATGCTCTCCCCTATCCTGTTGTATGAAGAACAAATTCTTTTTACCTTCTCTCTTGCAAACAACAGTTTATCAAAGACAAGTTTATCTTTGCTGTGTTTTCTGTTATGTAGGATGTGCCAATGTAGTTCAGTAGCTGTCTTGCAGTCTTCCTCCATGCTTTTGTGTGATATACAATGCTTTACTGTTAACACAATCAGGACTAGATGTATTGCCTTCTTGAACTGCTTTCTTGCCTAAATTACAAAATAGTGTCTGCATTGCAATGGGCCAAAAGAGAACGACCATTTATTGTGAAATGATACAAAGAATTGACTTGACCAAGTTTCATATTTAATCTCTGGGTGCCAATTTTCATTGAAACTACATTCATTTCAAAATGGTAATTCATTAGTACCAATGTCGCACATTTATCTAGACTGTTCTACAATTCTAAGTAAATCAATAAAATATAATTTAAGAAGTAGGGACTTAGGGGAGGCATCAAAAGATCAATGTCTGATAGAAAACTAAATAAATCTAGTTTGGGGGAGGGGGTCAAAGCTATTTCAGTTTGCTATCCGACAAATTTCAACATTTAAATTTTTCGCAATTTCAACTCGAAATGCCTTGGAATGGTTTAAAAATAAAGACTTTACCAGATGCCTTCTTCACCAAGATGCATGTACATGGAATATTATGCCTATTGTTGTTGGCACATGTTTTAAGTATCATAAATAAGTTATAGAAAACTGTAGTATTTTATGTAAACATTTTTAGTGCTTATAAAATATATATGTAGATTACAAATACTGACGCACCTAATAATAGTGTGCCGCTGTTAAAAAAGCGTATGTCAAAATAAGTAAATAAATAAAAATAGTACTGGCCGAGTCGCTAAAACATGTGAAAAGTCCGCGATCAACTTTCATTGTATTTAGTTTTGAGGGGGAGGGGGGGTCTAACTCAAAACTAGATTTATTTAGTTTCCTATCAGACATTGAACTTTGGATGCCTCTCCTTATTTCATTGGATGATTGTCAATAAATGTCCCACTATTGAAATATCCTACTTTTTATATTACTTTTTTCATTGGTCTCATTCAAACTTTCTATTCAATGATTCATGATCTCCAAATAATAATCAAAATTGACAAAAACTCAATTATAAAGTGTACAACTAAAATTACTTAAACATTAGTGGATATCAATATAGTATTCATAGCCCAACTTTAACATTGCAACTTTAACATTACCATCGGAAAGTTATTTTACTAGTATTGAATGAAAAATAATGTTTTGGTACCTTTTCCTTTTGTACATGGATACAAGTAATTGATTCATCTAACTTTTCCTGATTAGCTTCTCTCTTCTCACGAACGTTTCTAGTTAGTAATTGTCTGTTGAAATCTAATCTAGATTCCTGAAAGTCGTATTCTTTTCTGAATTCTTTAATAGATTTTGCCAACTGACCATTTCTTTGTAATCTGTTACAGTTACTTTGATTGTTTCCATGGTAACTGCTCTTATTGGCATGGCAACCATATGTGTCACTGCTGTCACCATTGTATTGGTTTGTTTTGTGTTTAAAGTTACGTGTACTTTGGGTTGTTTTTGGCCTGAAGTACTGCTCAACGATTCCAATTCTGTGTGTAGATGTCCGTTTACATTTTGCTGATGCAGATTTTTTCAGCAACTGAGGTTCCTTTTTTGAATCATGAGATTTTGGCAATCCTATATCAGTTTTGTTTACATTCATCACTGATGGTATCAAATCCATGAAGCTTCACTGCAGTTTAGATCATTCCAATTATGGAATCTCACATGTCTGACATTGCTCTTTTGATTGTGTACTGCAACTGTGCGTCCATTTCCTAGTCAAATTAGCCAAAATGAATGGACAGATATCTGTGAAATATGATGATGTCCATGTATATCTTTGATTTGATCATTTAATCCACTGAACTTCTTTTAATTTCTATTCTGCTCCACATTTTTATTACCATATAAAGAATGATACCTGCTTCATAAAGTATAAATAAACAATATTATTGGTCTTCTAATTCAATTTCCAACTCCATTTCCTACTGTAACTATACAATTCCTGCCAGTGTTTCATAATTTGCCACTCTATAATGTCAAATACCTGTCATTCATTATTTCAAAATATATTTTCATTTATCACAAAGTTAGTTGCCAAGTAATGAAGCAGTATTGGATTCTACTTTATTTATCAACTAAATGGAATGAATTACTTTCATTATCAATATATTGATTTGGCCCCTAATAAATCTCAGTCCAATATGTACAATAAGCCCTCAATGCCTTTCCTTTGAGATGAAATACTGTGAAACAAGATTGTCTAATCCATTGACAAGTTTTAGTTCAACCTGCAAAGTTGATATTGAAGTAAAAATTGATCATTTGTCCTTTGAACTAAATGTACCAGGATGCATAGGTTGTTATTGTTTTTTAAAACAAAATCATATCAAAACAAGTTAAACAAAAAGCCATTCTTTTGAAATCCATTGGACTATGATTTCCTGTTTGTCTCTATCATTGGCACATCATGTCCCAAACAACCAGGGATCAGAATGTCTTCAGAAAGCTTTTCATGATGAGCAATTTACCCTTGAAAGTCATGCTATGTTGAGAATTATGTTCTCTGTGTGAAACCGACTTGGGCATTTTCTCAACAAATAAAATGGAAGGCATGCATGTCATATTAGATAACTACCTGATTAATGTTATATAAAAAGAATTGAAATTCTAACATGAATGACATGAATTAAATTGAATTAGACAATAATCAATAAACAACTTTTTAATGAGGGAAATCACTAACATTTCATGCAAGGGTCTTAATTGTAGGATGATACAGGCTTGGGGTTAATCAATTATTGATCAAGGACATCGCATAAGCAGATAGGTCACGTCACAAAATATTTTGCCAATTAGATAAAATCTAACACAAAATTCTTTTTGATTTTTAACAAGGATTTTTGCCAAGTTTTCTGATCCCTTACTTGTATTGCCTTTTTTGAAACATTTAAAATATGCCAAGATTCTTTAAACAACCTTGGGGATATACCTTAGGATTGAGATAATATTACTGTATTAGAGATTATTATCATATCTTACTAATAGTCTATAAGTTGAGGAGCCTATAAGATGATACACTGACTGGCATGCAAGCAAACGAGACTCTTATGATAAGTTGCACCAAATATGAGAAGTACATGCACTTTGGCTTATTTGTTGACCTTGGCCTTTTACAGGTTGGCATACCAACATATCATCTAAATGTCATCTCACAATATCACTAGAAGCATTCTAAACAATATAATTTAACATACTCATTTATGAGATTAGCATTGATACCATCTACAAATTCTCCAGATAGTCAGACATACAATGGCTCCATTAGTCTGTTAGTTGCTATTGAAATCCGAATTTGTCATCTATTGTTTTTGGCTATGAGACTGACCTTTATCAATATTCATTTGAGACTTTTCCTTTTTGTGTTTCATGCTTATCTCAGATGGAACAAAATACATCATGTTAACACTTGCAGATAATATCTCTCCATTAAATTGTTTATTAGAGGTGTGATAAAATATGACTTTTTATCATTCTTCGATTTCAATATAATTCTATTCTTACTTCAAAAACAAGAACTGCACTCACATTTTCCAGTTATTGCATTCATATTCTGAATCCTTCAATACATTATCAGTCTATGCGGACTATATTTGTATATACTGTACATGTATTTCAACTTCCATTTGTTATAACATGTCAATAAAATACATTGAAGGCCAGTCATTCACACATTCCAACATGCTCCAGTTTTATTTGCACAAGTTCTCCTATTTTAAACTTGGGAATAATTTTAGATCAAATTGAAAAATGATCCCAGTGTTTTGTTTAAATGTATTGTTTTCAAACAATGGGTGACTATTTACATAGAAATAGAGTTGAGTTACAATCACTTAAGAATGTCATTCTATTGTGTCAGTCACAATCTCAAGTTGTCATATATTCAATTAAATGTGTTTGCAGTGACTCTCACCAAGATACACGATTGGTTTTTGAAGTGCCTTTGAATTTATTTTACATACAGCCCCTTTAATTAAAATTTTTTACTATCTTAAATATTTAATTGTTCATGTCAATTCCTTATTCCTTCAGACTGTAATTATAAATTCATAACTGTTGAAAGACCATCGTAAATTATGTACAAAAATGTGTCCATTTGCTCCTAATGCCAGCTACTAACACTGACCAGTCACAAGAGACACTGACTAGAGCAATTATGTCGCAAATTCTTGGTGGTGACATATAGCTATATTGCATATTGCAATATTCCACTCTTGAATAGACGGTTTTCGGGTCGGAAAATCCAAAATGGCTGACTTAACATTTACCCGGAATGATCAAAAACCAATCCGTTCTTAAAGGGTGACGCATATCGTTTAGCAAATCGAACGCTCGTTTCTGGTGTTGCTCACCGTTTAGTATAAAAGGCCCGATCCCGGAATAATACTCAAGGGTTTACAGGTTGGAGGTCGTTGTGTCAACACCTCTAACTGTTATATAGCATAAGTATATTATAGATCGTCACACATTTATAAAAGGGTGATTTTTATTTTGACAAATCAATTCCACATTTATGGGTGAAGTTTCAGGATCTTCTATTTGTGTATAATAAGGAAAAATTGGCATCTAAATTTCCCCATAACGTAATAGCACACAGCTTGGCATATGAAATATCCTACAAATGAAACAAAGCAAGACAAACCGGTTTCTAATACAAGGATTTATATTGGCTGTTGTACATGTATTCTTTGAACGCAATCACTCTTTGGATAACGTTTTTAAAATCATTATAAACGGATTACTTTATCTCAAAGACAATTTCAATAAACTGGATTTTACAGAACTCCCCTTATTTCTTAAAAATGGACTGATCCAGTTGATTCGCCTGGAGCCGCCATATTGTTTTTATACGGGATGCTAATCGGAACCCTTTAAGTCTCATTCTGAGAAATAACCCCTAAAAATGTCAGAAAAATCCATCAAACGTACAATATCTTAGGAGGGAAAATTCAAAATGACTGTCTTAACATTTACCCAGAATGCCCAAAATCAGTCAATGACTTTCATGAAATCAATATGTGAAACAGTTCACTTGGAAACATTCCTTAACATTTACCCATAACTAATCTAATCATTTCTATACTTTTATACCAAGACACATCACTAAAAATTTCAGGTCATCCATCAAAGAGGTTGGCATAATCATTTGCAGACAATTAAGACTTCACAGGCAAGATTTAAGGATGGAAAATTCATCAAAATGGCTAGCTTAAACCCAGAATGCCCAAAACTCAATTTTAGATTTTCAAACAAAGAAACATCCCTGAGAATTTGAAATCAATCTGTCAATTGGTTTGCCCAGAATTGGTATGTCAACTTTACAGGCAAGATCATCCCATCAAGCGTCAAATCTGCCTGGAAAACTGATCACAATATAGTACCCAGGAGAGCAATAAAAAAAAATAGCCTAGTCGTTTTTTTGTATTTTATCATATGTATATATTTACAGCTATGCTATGTATAGAACATTCAGTCTTATATTGTTCAATGTTACAATTTACAATTATACAATATAAAGTGAATTTTATCAGCTATTATAATTAGCCTAAATGATTAAATTCCCATTTAGTCCCTCAAGAGTAGCTCTCCATTTAAATTTTGTGTTTCATGATTTATTGTATGAGGACAACAGTAGAGATTGATTGACTATTTGTATTGTTGTCCCTATGCTTCACTCTCATTCGCTTCTGCCTGTTGGTCCTCTAATATAGGGACTATAAGATTGTCTCTGGACATCAGGTTATATTTGGTCACAAACACAGTGAACCTCCGACACAAGCTCGTCTCATTCTGGAAGAAAACAAATATTATATTTATTGCACTCTATCGATCTGGCAAGTTTATAAATAAGGATAACTTCTTAACATGAATCAGTCTTCATAAGTGATTGATTGGAATGTAATAAGAACACTAGATAACAGCAATGCCAAAGCAAATCCCATCAAACAGCCATGGCTGCCATTTTAAAAAAATCCTTCTACTACTTTTCAGTTATAGCAAAAATCATAAAATAACACACATAAAAAGGCTACCATTTTCAAAATGGTTGCTCACAAGCCAAATTGTCATAAGAAAGTGTAATATGCTTCTAAGTAGGCACATATAAAACTTCAACAAAATCGCACACAATGTACATGTAAATAGCGCGGCTATTTCTCAAAATGGCCACCTAGTAGCCAAAGTGTCACGAGACAGTGTGCATATGAGTATTCACATATCAAATATGAACAAAATCGCTCCATTACTTTGCAAGTTACAGCAACAATCAAAAAAATAGTGTGTAAAGGCCACCATTTTTCAACATGGCTACCATGTGTTTCTTAAATATCTACATTTCTAGCTTCATTGATGTCCTATATAAAATGGCCTCCATTCTAGAATGAGTGGCTATTTTGAAAATCTGGATTGCATATGTAAACAGAATATTAACAAAATTGAGCCAATGCTATTTGAATTATTGCATGGACGGACATACGGACTGATGGATGGAGGCGTTTCCTATATCCCTCCGAACTTAATTCGATGGGATAATAATTTCATGTACATTGAATATGTCCATCGAAGGAAATCTGCATAAGTCATCATTGGATATATGTTAGACAATATACTGCATATGGGTCTTCAAACACTTTATTAGTAGATATCTTCAATGGCTCCAGTTAGAATACAAAGTAATATGTAAGGTGACAATGAAAGTGTAGACATGTACTTCACTTTCAATTTCTTTCTTTTATGCTATATGTGCATTTAATTAAACAATAAATCTTCCTATTACTCAGCCACAAAAAGCTTCTTTGGGATCTAACCTTCGTTGGATTCTCTATTAAACTGCTTCACTGTCAATCATTCATTTCTAGCAAATGCGAAGGTGTCACACTGGCATAAATGACGCTTTTTGTCTAAACGCTTCAAATCATAACACAGCAATTTCACATTTTAGTGTAACAGGTACCAATGATAACTAAATGTCTAATGTGATGAATTTAAACATACTCTTTATGTGATCACAATCATGAAATAACCAAAAAGTACATTATCAAGTACTACCTCATATTCATCAAATAGTTGTCTGTGGTGGAAATATGCATGAGAAAATATTCTGTAGACTCTCCTACAAACAGATCCGAGCTTGGCGACTGAAGATTCTTTAATACTGACCCTACAAAATAAAACAATGATATGCATATGATGCATGACTGACTGTACCAGTGTTCTTTACTTATTTCCGTGTATTTTTCATTAACACTTGATTGCTCCTGCTAACAGTGTCTCCAATAGTCTATAATGTTTTCTGGTACTTCAAATTCAACATTACATAATTCCTCAACATTACATTTATAAAAGGGAATTTCTGGCTTACCGACTGGGAAAATATTTGTTACTGTTTAATAGGCATGCAGCGCCATCTAGTGTGTGCCTAGTATAGTCTATAGCTGGGCACTGAAAAAATAAGCATGAAGCTGTAAGCATACAACAGTTCAAACTTAAAGAATACGAACACTAATCTAAGATTATCAAATACCATAATTTATATATTAATAGGATTCATTAGAACAGGCAAAATGAATGAAAACAACAGGTGATCAAAGAAAGCCATGAATTTATGATTTTCCATGTTTTTTTTATACCCCTAAAGCAATCTGTCTACTCTCTGCTCACTTCAGTCTCCATGATCAAATAAAAACGAAATCTCAGTATTTCAAATACTTTCTACTTCATGGTTTTATAAGTTAGATTCTTACTTCTTTTGGAGTTTTATGTGCTGCACAAAGGAAGATCCATTGTTCTGTTGCAGTCATCTGTGTACATGTCTCTGGATTACAATCATTCTGAGCAAAAAATAAATAATGTTATCCTTCAAACAGTTAGAGGGAGGGGGGGGGCAAATATGCATCTGCAGATCTGGTAAATTTTGTTGCTGAAAAATAAATAGATCACTTTTTGGATCCATCATAACTTTTGATTAATAAGCAAGTCAATAAGGTTATTTCTACTTCTAGTTTGATCACTGTATTCATCTTTAATTTGACGAGTGTTTTAAATTGGCGAATTTTGGTGAAATAAAAAAAATCGCCAAATTGAAAAGTCGCCAAAATCCCCGGGTATGTTCAGTGCACTTCCAGTTACAAGAAAGATACCAAGATGGCTGGGCCATTTAAATTCATAGAAATTTATATAAACAACAAGAAATATTGAAGAAATTGTTCATCAACAACACTGACAATGAGTATCGTGAATTTGGTTGAAAAAACACAAAATCGCCAAATTAAGTAGCGCCAAGTTAAGGACAAATACAGTAATTAGCAAGTCAATGAGGTTATTTCCACTTGTAGTTTGATTATTTAGCAATGAGGTTATTCTACCTGTAATTTGACAGCCAGATCATTGAGCTCCATACAAAATTGTCTAAGATGTTCATATTTCCACACACCCTCGTCCTGGCCATCTGGTGGTGTAAGGATTTCATCTATGTTGGAGAAATCCTTCCTGATGCTCTGCTGTATGAACTGGAATAAATAAACAAGAACATAAATATGGTCTTGTGTGAACCAACAAATGTTTTGATAAAAAGCGGCCATCTTGAAAATTTCTTCTTGAACACTAGTTCCTAAGTTCCTTTGTCCATAGGTATTGGCAGATAAAAATGAACCAAATCTACTGGTAATTGAGTAGGCCTAATCAAAGATTATGTTTTTTTTACGAAAAATGGTGACCATTTCGAAACTCAGCTGCCATCTTGAACATTTCTTCTGGAGCGGAGCCCCTTTGTTCATAGGCATCAGCATATAAATTTAAGAACAAGCCCATCAACTTGTACATGTATTTGGTTATCAAAGATTACATTTTTAACAACAAATGGTGGCCATTTTGATAAATACAGTGGCCATCTTGAAAAAATATTATTGAGCAAAGCTCCTTTATCTCTTGGCATCAGCATATAAAATTTGAACCAAGTCCACTGGGATTTAGTTATCAAAGATTACATGATTTTATGAAAAATGGCTTTGAAATTCAAATTAACCAAATCAGTAAACTGGTATTGGAATTATCATCTGGACAAACGAATGGATAGACAAATGAACAGATGGAAAAATACATGACATCTTCTCTATACATGTATCCCTAAAATAAGGTGGGCTTTAATCCATTAACACAATGTTAAAAATTCTTTCAAACTTGATTTACTTATTAATAATTACACAAAATCAAAATGTCAACAAGATCATCTACAGGGTGACCCAAAAAAATGCAACCCTCCATTTTTTGAATATTTTTCTTAAATGGAGGTTAATTGCTCTGAAATTTGGCACACAAGGACTTCATTCAATGTGGGATCCTCTGGCAAAGTTTCAATAATCACAGTCTTATATTGATAGAGTTATGGTCGTTCCAAAATATGCTCCAAATGTCGTCCATTTCCGATATCAGGTTTTCGGATGAATCACATTTCCTTCTTTCTGAACATGTAAACTCAAGAAATAATGTGTTCTGGGATCACAAATTCCAGATAAAGTGCTTCACAGGCCCCTACATTCTGTTAAATGCACAGCTTGGGCTGCCAATTTCCAAACATGAAATCATCTGCCCCTTTTGGTTTGAGGTTGATAATGGCAACACTGTTACTGTTAACACACAGCGCAATATTGGCGTTCCCAGGAAGTTCTAGGCAGTTCTAGAGTGACATAGAGGCTTCAATAGACAAGAACAGAGGTTCTAGAAGGATGGAGCTACTCTTCACACTTCTAATGATAGCATAGCCCGGCTCACTAGTCATTTCTATGAGAAGATTATCTCTCCTAGGACGGAGGACCCATGGTCATCCCACAGTCTTGATCTCAATGCCCCTGACTTCTATATACGGGGTTATTTAAAGGATAATGTGTATGAAAATAACCCTACCGCAATTGCAGAACTCCAATAAGCAATGGCTGCAAAAATTTGAGCTATACCCATGGTGAAGAATGCATACTTGTTATGAACAGTTTTCCTTGAACATTGCAAGTTTGTTTTCAGCGAAATTGACGGCATCTGGAGCATATTTTGAAACAACCATAACTCTATCAATATAAGACTATGATTATTAAAACTTTGCCAAAGGATCCCACATAGAATGAAGTCTTTGTGTGCCAAATCTCAGAGCAATTTACCTCCATTTAAGAAAAATATTGACGAAATGGAGGGTTGCATTTTTTTTGGGTCACCCTGTAGTATGGCAATGGTCAGTTTACATTAATCCATTTGGAAATATTCAATATATCAAGAAATTAAGTGGCATCTGTCAAATTTTCCAAATGATGGAATCCAGCCAAATCCAAAGCATATGCTGCCATCTATTTATCCAATTGTACAGCAAATCATCAAAGTATACAAGACTCCTTACATACCTGTTGCACAGCTAGGGTGCTATCCATTTCATCGAAAGACTCATCTGGCCAATTACACCAGTCCTGAAATTACAGTTGAATCAAAAGATAATACATATTGTATTGGGCACATTTTGCTGAATTTGAACATTTAACGTCCCAATTACTCTCCTAAACTGCTGAAAATATGCCCCGTAAATAATATTTATCAGAATGAATGTCTCCAAGGTTTCATACCAACCTATGCATGTACATGATGGATTTATCAAAGTAAAGTTTGATTACATATTCCAATAAAATGAACTGGGGTGATCTCCGCCAGGTTTGTTTATTGTGGTTTGATAATAACAAATCATTTTTATTTGTGCGTGGTGTAAACAAGTCAAAATGTTGATTTGCAATGTACAAGTACAACCCCAGCATTCAATACCTGTTACTGCTATAATGTCAAACCTGATATTGCAGAAGATGAAACCCTCAGAAACTAAAAATCAAAGTCTGTCACCTAATATTATAAATAAAATAGCGTTTTACCCCCTCCCCCTAACATGATTAATTACATTTTTTGACGGACATCGAAATATTGACCCCAACCGTAATTGTTTGCCTGCCTTTCGTTTAACTATTTTAACTTAACTGAAAATAACAAAATGGGTAAAAAACATTGCCTACGATTGACATGTATTCAAAATCAAATTATATAAATAATTTTCAAGGCTACAAATATGGTCAGTCTTTTACACATGATATGGTCAGACTTTTACACATTTTCCTCAGAACCTGCAGTGACAAAAAAATTCTCCCTTTCACGGTTCGCTCTTTGAATCTTTGAACGTTCGCAAATATGTACTGAAAAAGCACTCAAAAGGGACAAAATTTGATTGGTCAATATTTTCCCACTATGCATTTTGCGTAGCTATTTGCGTGACCCGAAAGTTCTAAATCAAACTAATTACGCAATTTTGTTTTTACACCCGCACGCTAAATAAAACAATGACACCATCGGAAGTATTCTTCTTTGTCATTGCTTTAATAGTCAGTATACCGAATTTAATCAATAAAAGATTGTAAAATGAACAACAAAATTCGGAAACGAGTACTATAGATTTGCTTTCGGACCACGGAACAGATTGACCTAGATAATAGCGAAGCGTCTTCTTTGGTCTACTGCTCAGTTGTTTTTAGGTTTTCAACGTAACTATAATGTAATTTGAAGATGAATACTTTTATTCAGTTGTTGCATCGATGTTGCAGTTTGTAGTGCGGTAAGATTGGCATGAAAGTATTGAAAGTCGAATGGAATTTGTTTTTTTCCAATATGGCGACTAGTAAACTGATCATGTGACCTTCTCTTCCGGAATATTTTCCCACTTTTCAATCATCGTTTTCACCATGCTATGAATCAATACAATGAAAAATAGCTGTTATATTAAGATTAATAAGAGATCAATCGTTTCTAATAATTTTTTCTGTACTCTTGTACGGGAATATGAATGAATATATCGTTTGAAAAATAGGTGTGAAAATCCCCATGTTAAACCTATGAGGGAAAACAAGGAAGTATAAATTTTTTCCTCCGCCAACTGCATCATGGGAAATATTTTGACCTTATAAGGAAAGATTTTCGAGTCTCCTCTTTTGAAGAGGGAACAACGATTTCGAGAATTGTATTAAAATGTGTGACATATAGGCCCTACTAGTGTTGTTGCAATGTGCCATAATTGTACATCGATGCATCTGCAATTTTCACTAGTAAACATCAATGCACATCGCGATGTTCATCGGGAGAAGTCTTACCAAAGGATGGGTATCGATATGGTGAACTTTTTGAACACACATTCCTCTTAAACCAGTCATCAAAACATTCAGAAAATTCTACACAATGTCAATTTAATGGTCATCTTTTGAATGGTGACAATATAATTTGGAATAAATATATACTTTTCTCAGTATTGTTTTAGAAAACACATTAGACACTTCTTTTGTTCTTGGTATCGTATGTTCGGAATGAAATGAAACATCTATACGAACCTCATTGGAACAAAATGACATAAACACAACGCGTTTAGGTCTCTCAATATTGTAATTGTACAAAGGAAAGTTTGGTTGATTTAAAAAAAGTATCTTGTTCATGAAAAAAAGGTTTATACAAGAAATGTAAACGAACTAAAAAAATTCCCAAAAATGTTCCGACTGGCTTGTCATTTCCGGAAGTTATGATATGTTATACATGTATCATGGGCTTTCAATTAGAGTTGAAAGCCCATGGTTATATTACCGAACATGTGTGAAAATGGAATGTTTGTTCGTTCATTTTACGAGAGATAAATATAATGCGAACTGTACTTATTGTTGATCGGACAAAGATAAGTTGATGTAGTTATATTGGAGTTCGATTACTACCATTTGGAAGGCACGTGAGGGTCCCATTCATCAGGTAACACTTATATGTCGAAGTTAGGTTCTTGCCTTTTTAACACTGTAACAAGGAGTAGATCTATTATTCAGCTGTCCAAGTGCGGCATGGGAAAACTATTTTATCAAAATCCACATAGCTTTAGCAGGAAGTAAGATCTACTGAGATTGATTGAGAAAATAAATAAAAAAATTCAAAAAATAAAAACGGACAAAACCATGATATATCTATGCCCCTCGCAAAACAAATTTTGGCCAAGGGGATAGAAAACATTAACAGAAATATGAGGTTCAAAGATATTACACTTCGCAGTCTCAAAATGGATAAATACCGTCGTTTTTGTCCCAGATCGATTTCTTCTAATTATAGCAGTGATGTCCGCCATTTTAAATGCACGAAACGAAAAACCAACAAGCCAAACGGTATTACTCCACCAATGATTTGCCAATTGATTTGTGATCACCGGATGGATTGTATCTCGTAGTGACAGCATTCTCGATAAATGCCCAAATTAATGTTTAATTTTTGTCAAGAGGTCTTTTTTAAAATAGCATAAATTTAGTTAGAAGTTATGTAAAGTAGCAATATAAAAAATAGTTATTTATTCAATATTTCAAATGTATTGAAAATATCATACCATGCTATTTTATCAAAAACAACTTAAAACGTATATAAAACTTCTGTAAATAGTGCCCAAACCATGTTAATTTGCCATTGAAAAAAGTACTTTTGGGCACTATTTGTTACGCGGAATATGGCATAATTCATGGTTGTGTGGTATTTGTGATATGAGTGAATATGCCAAATTCACCTGCAGTATATAATACATTGATTTCAGTGAATACCCGATACTTACCTGAGGATGTGTCATACTCACTTGTGGAATATGCCATATACCACAGGTTAATATGACATATACTCCAGGTGAAAACATGACACAGAAAGCCTTGATTTGATTGGTTTTGAGAATCGACACTAAATGTAAAACTATGCTGGATTACCAATACAGTTAGTGCTTTGAGTATTTATATGTGAATCCTGGATTTATTGAGTGATATTATTACGTAAGATTGCTGAATGATATTTTTACTGCAGTAATTGATATACACACACGGGAATTTCGCGTCATAATTATTCCTCCGCTTGTTGCGCTGTTGTGCATAGCAATGTCCTTTGCAACGTGTATAAACATCGCATGGACGTATAAGTACAACCCGTCATTTTTTCATGTTTGCAATGAAATTAGTAGTTAGTTAGTTATCCTTTCGAGATCCTCTTGTATCATTTCGTAAACTTTTATAATAGTTAACCCTAGGCATGTGACATCGCATGTGACATACGCAGAGCATTACGGTTGAAATCAACCATCAGTTGCGCCATTTTGAATGAATAAACGCTTCCAGCAGACGATTAACATGTCATGCAAGATTGTAAGACAGCCACGTGGGTCCAAACCACGTGTAACGCACAATCACTGCGACCGGTCGCACGATGAAGTACTTAAAAATGCAAGCCGAAAACTAGCTGGTTTTGGTAGCATCACAAACATGTTAAACATAATGCATATGCTCTGCAATTTTAATATAACATGGATCGAATATTGAACTATACGTCCTAGAATTTCCATATAATTTCATAAAGAAATTCAACTAATTTAAGACATTTTTCTTGAACTAAAATCACTGCAACTGGGTACCACCGGTCGCTTAAATTTGGGCCATTTTAGGGGTATTTCACTGCGACGTCGCAGAAAGTTCTACCGATTGCAGTCGCACGAGATTGATGAATAGGACGTATCGCTAAAAAGGGCCCTTGCGACATCACAGGCTTGCGACAGCTTGATGAATGACCCCTCAGAGAGGTAGTGAAGGTACGCAACGAACGAAATGAATTTTTAGAATGCAGAATTTGAACTTGTGAATTTTTTCAATATTTTTCAATGAATATTACCGTAGAGATACCTAGTATCAACTTCCGGTTGAAATTTTCTAACGAGCATCAATTTCAAGATGGCGAATGACGACCAGACAAAGTTGGAAAGGGCTCAGGCTATTGCCTCTAATAACCCCCAAGAGGCTATCCCGATTCTGCACTCATTGGGTATATATACATAGATATACAGGGCATATTTTTGATTCATTTAAAATGTGATTGTTTTTCTTTTGTAGCGTTATTTTTAGAGGAAAATAAATGACATTGTTATTTTCATATATTATCGCCCATTTGCACCGGCATTTTCTTTACAGTAAAATTTTAAATGTTTGGAACTACTTTGCATTTAAAGATAAGCAATCAAAGGACCATATTGAAACAGTAAATGTAAAAATAGAAACATTTATACATGTCCTAACTTTTGTATATTTTAGTTTGTTTTGTAGTTTACAGTCCATTTCACTGTTTAATTGCGTCAGTAAAACCTAAAAAATAAGAAATCTAAATACCATTATGCAATAATATATGGAAAAATATATTCCTATTGTACATGAATGACATTTGTAGATCTTGAATTGTTTGTAGTTTGGTTTATAAAGTGTCTGGCCTCTTATATTTTGATGCTTCTCTGCCATGTTATTTTCAATAAGATTAACATGGCTGAATTTCTTCAAATTACAAGAGGGCACAGGCTTATTGCACAAAAAATGTACAATATGAATATACCTTTCCATATATAATTGCACAATGGTCTCCTGATTTCTTATTTTTGTGGTTCTACTGACTCAATAAAACGGTGGAATGGACTCTAGCTATCATATCTGTGGCTTTGATGCTTCTATGCCATGTTATTTTCGGAAAAATTAGCATGGCTGAAACTCCCTTATTACAAAAGGCCACAGCTAACCTTCTTCTAAGGCCACTGGATCGTGGCCTTCGTCCAAAGATAAATTCCTGCATGTATTACGGGTCATGTCGTAATCATAAAATTTTAAATCAAACCAAAATCAGAATCCGCCATTTTTCACATCACAATTTGAATTGCGAGTTTTGGTCTTATTACCTTACCAAAAATTACAAAACACACATGAAGTGATCAATGTATTAGTTCACATCTTCTGGATCACTAACTTAAAATTTACAGCCAGTTATTAATGTCAGACATTAACGACATTTCGTCCAGTTTTCGAATATTGCTATTTTTCTTTGAGCAATTTTGTTTTAATTTAAGACGAAATCCTGACGAAATCATGCAATATCTCATCAAGGAGCCGAACCGGTCCCATTTTAATTAATGATTTATTTATCTGGTGATTTTTAAAATATTCAACAAATTTATGACACACCGGCCAGCTTTTTTTTCAAATGGAGTTCACATTATTCCAGATGAAATGACTTCTTGCCAAGAATTGGCTAGAGACTCGAGTAAGTCACAGCTTTACTACACATTATATATAACTACATGTATCTGAAATATACAAAAGTTAGGACATGTACATATGTTTCTATTTTTTATATACTGATGCAGTATAGTCATTTGATTGCTTATTTTTTAAATTCAAAGTAGTTCCAAACATTTAAAATTTTACTGTATATCCTTTTTTCTTAGTAAAACGAGATGTTGCTGCTAGAGATGAGGAGGGTCTTAAGATTAAAGAACAAGCTATAATGGAATTGAGTGCACTTCTTGCTAAAACGAAACAGGCAGAAGGTGAGTACTATCAGTTTCCTGAGTGCTTTGGCACTGTTATCATTACATGATTTATACACAAGTCGTTAAGAACAACAAAAACATGAGTTTGAGAAAAAAATGCTGTTTAATGAATCTGAAAAAAATGCTGATCCAAAATATCTGAAAATTTTAGAATTAAACTGTACTTCTCATTCCAACATCTCATGTCAAGTGACTAATCAAGAAGGATTGGCTCCCAGAATGCAATCTCAACATTATTTGTTTGGTACACATACTAAGCCCAAGATAAAAACAAGGATGATTTGATTACAAAATTCAAGTCACCATTTTTTCACTTCAGATTCTAATCACGAGTTGTGAAAACATGCAAGAAATGATCACACTATTAGCTCAATCTTTTGGATTGCTATTTATAAATACATAGCCAGTTAAATGACAGACAATAACAACATTTTCATCGTTGGAAAATACTGGGATTGCATTCAAGGAGCCAATTCTCCTTGGTGACTGGAGAGACTTCAAAATGGCAAATGCTGATAAAATTTATTTTCATCCTTAACCTTTTGATTTCATAGAATAGTTAGCAGTTAATAAATTTGGATTAAAAAGTAATTTATGTACATAGGCGTAGCGATGGGTGCACCCCCCCCCATAACCAATAAAAATAAAACCATGAGAAAGAACAAGAAAAGAGCTTTAAAATGCTTTTTATTTGAAAAATTTTTGGCAATCGCACCCCTCCCCCTGACTGAAAGCTGGCTACGCCCCTGACGTATGTAATTTATAAGAGCTATTTATAAAATCAAAGAAAATTATTTTTAATTTCATTGATCGTAATACCAACAGGCATAAATAGCTTTAGCTTAGATTCGATTCTCATTCAATTTCAAAACTTTGTCTTACTACAGTGCTATAGAACAGAGAACGTAAAAATAAGGTTATTTTATATCAGTTTCAACCTTATTAAGCACCGGCTCACATGTTCAGATTTTCTATGTTAAAAAATTATGTGGACTGTTCCTAAGCTGCCTTAAGCAGTATGTAATAATTATAGGATATCCTATGATTTTGAGGAATATCATTTTTATCTACGAGGTGATATTGATATCTGCATGAGAGAGCGAAGCGAACGAGTGCATATATCAATATCACCGAGTAGATTAAAATGATATTCTGAAAAAATCATAGGATGTTCTTATTATCCTACACTTACAAGGAGTGTACTGAATGTATAATATCATTGTAAAATTAATTCCATGCCAAATAGAGTCAATTTGGCGGGAAATCAACAAACGGAGTATATCGTCACAATATCCTCCGCATATTGGGTTTTCCGGAGTATATCGTCATGATATCCTCCGCCCGGAGTATATCGTTACGATATCCTCCGGATATTCATTTTGCCAATAAATATCAAATTTATTTTTTCATGTTATTATACATTTAGTACACTAAGCGTAGGATAATAATAGATATTTATTATTTAATAGCATAACAATAGATCTTGTAACCATGGGAAACATAGACTTGGCCATTTGAGAATTTAAAGAGAGAATGTTTAGAGAGAAAATCTACTGCCACCAGTGAAAAATTTATTTCAGCAACAATCATGAAATCGACACTGTAAATCTAGGAGTGGGTATCTGACAGTTGGTAAGTAGACAGACAAACTAGTGTTTTATATCTTTCAACACCAAAATAGGTTCTTATTGTGCTTTTATCCAACAGTGCATCTTAAGATTTTTTAATGACTTTCAGAACTTGCTGGGCTTCTAAAATTCACTCGTCCATTCCTTGCATATGTGAGTAAGGCTAAGGCTGCCAAACTTGTACGGGGCATGGTTGACCTATTTCTTGACATGGATGCTGCTACAGGAAAAGAGGTACGATATGGGGATAAGATTTGTATACACACAAGCATATAATTATGAATAAAACATGTGAAAGTCAAATATTTAAATTGCTTTTGATTTCATTTTTGTTGCGAATTGTGCATAATCAAATATTCAAACCTATTTAGTAGTCTCTTGTGCTCTTAAGATAGGCAAATAATTTTAACCTATTTAGGAGTTTCTTCTGCTGCTAAGATAGGAAAATACTTTTATGTTTTTAAGAGTCTCTTGTGCTGCTACCAACATAGTCAAATGTTCAAACCTATTTAGGGGTCACCTTTCACGAAGCAAAATTAAATCTGTATAATGTTATTATCCCAATGAACATAATTTGTCCGCTATTCCATTTGTTTGTTTGTCCATTCAATACTTTTTGGCACTCTGCTCAAAAAGGAATGCTGAATTCACAATTTCTCAGAAAATGTGATTTTTCCTAATAAGGCTCAATTTAGGCTAATACCATACAGTCAGAAGACCCGTACTCAAGAAGGAACATATAATATGTTTTCAATTATTGTCACATCATGGGTGGAGATTTTACCAAAAAGAGACGATAAAACTCTTCTATTTCCTTGTTATTTTTATCATGTTATATGCAAAATGATGAGTAATTTGGTTGATAAATATGTTTTGTTTGTTGGGAATTGCTAATTTAGTTGCTGTTTTTCTAGTTTTATCATGTTCCTCTGTTTTAGGTTGAATTGTGTCAAGAATGTATAGATTGGGCAAAAGATGAGAAAAGGACATTCCTCAGACAAGCCTTGGAGGTAAGTTAAAAATCCTATTTCTTTTACTGCAATGCAACTTTGTGAGGTTTTTATGCTTTTTGATTGATAACATTTATATAAAGTAATTGGAAATATTGTTTTTATGTCAAATTATAGGAATACCAATGAGGACATATTGAACTCCTCTTTTGGCACACCTTATTCTATTCTTGGGTGCCTATTCTTGTATGAAGATAATTTTTTCCAAAAGATGATGAAAGATGAGACAAAATTCCATTTAGCTAAGTTAATCTAGTAAAGCAGATAGGTTTATACATGTAGATGACCTGTTAAGTTTAGACAACCCTAAACTGTTAAGTCACGGTTATACATTGTACTTGTAAAAGGCTTAAGAAATACTTTCATGGGTTTGCTGAAAAAAAAAAGTCATTAATTTCAAAATTTCAAGTTTTACAATTTGTGATGTTGGAGGATGTAGGAATTGTTTAGGAAATTTGGCACTGAACTCACAATTTTTTCACTTGGCACTTTTTGAGATGGATCCCAGCTATGGCATTAATGGTTGAGAAATAGGAATCAAAATCAGCCATAGTTTTCTCCTGATGACCATTGTTAGAACTATTTTTTGATGTTATGTTGACAATCAGTTTCTGATTTTTTGTCTTCACACATGTGAAATGTTTCGACATCAGTATGGATGAAATGTACCTTAGTGTTCTGGTCTTGGAATATGATATTGGTCCTTGAATGGTGGGAAAGGGCTGTTAGACATTATTTATTTTCATGTTAGATCTTAGTTTTGGGATATATGGGGTTTGATTTTCTTATGACCAGGTATACATTTAGACTTTGCTTTTTCATGCTAAGTTCCATTACAGCTTTTAGTCCCTGGCTTAAAATCTGGATATATGGAATTTAGCTTAGTTATTACAAGTCTTTTCTGTTTAATCTGATAAAGCATGTCTGTAACCACACTACGAGAATAGTATAGTAGCACCCTTAAATACTATCTTAAGATGAAGTTAACATTGATATTAATAATGTTGATATTAAGCAATTAGATTCTCAGGAATTCTCCGATCCAGTGGTGCTCCTTTGGCTTAGGATTGAATACTAACTGACACATCAAGTAATACGTTCTCTTCCCGCAAAAGTTGGTTGCAAGGCTAATTTATACTTTAGGCAAAACTGGTTGCTTTGTACTTTGAAACTTCACAATACGAGAATGCTTTGAACATTGGATCTACTCTGTTACGTGAGCTAAAGAAGCTAGATGATAAGGCCCTCCTTGTGGAAGTCCAACTGTTGGAGAGCAAAGTCTACCATGCCTTAAGTAACCTGCCCAAAGCACGGTATGTAGACTGTTATTTCTTATTTTAAATCACCATCAGTTAAATTAAGATTCTCTTTTATAGAATGATTTAACACTTTCAGTGCACTTTACCAATTCTGGAAATAACCTTTTTGCTTTGATATTATGCAGAAAAAACAGTTTATAATGATGTCACCTTTACATATATTACATCATTAATAATATATATCAAAATATTGCATTATAACGGAAGGTCAGCGCATGTTTTAAGACACTGTGTTCCCACTGACTGCGATCCCTTAATGATTGATTTGATTGATTTTGTCAAAATACCTTGATCCTTTTCAACAAGGTAGAATGTTGTTTTAGAATTTTCAGCTGAATATAGCCCCCAGTTAATATAATGCTTGGGATAACACTTCTACAGAATGTCAAAGTACATAGAATTGTTTTCTTTCTTCAGAGCTGCACTAACTTCAGGGAGAACTACTGCCAATGGTATATATTGCCCACCAAAACTCCAGGCAGCCTTGGATCTACAATCAGGTAGATATTTTTTGCATTCATAAAACTCACAGAAAAAAAACAGAGGATGCATCACATGTTTTAACTAGTCTGTATCAACAATTTGTTCAATTCAAAATTGCCATTCATGAAATGAAATTATAAAATTCTTGTATCTTTTTCAATTCAAGACAAACGTGGGTTACTTCTTTGTTTGTAACCCAGGAGGGGCATCCTAAGAGGCCACTTAGATTTTTGCCATCGTATGAGAAAATAACCAGTACTGTAATTCAGTTTGAGGAGCAGTTCTGAAATTCTAAGAATGACCCAGTTTATAAAGCATTTTCTTATTCTTGTAGGTGTTTTGCATGCAGCAGAAGAGAAAGACTTTAAGACAGCTTTCTCCTATTTCTATGAGGCCTTTGAAGGCTATGATTCAGTTGATAGCCCTAAAGCAATTCAGGCACTCAAGTATATGTTACTCAGCAAAATTATGTTGAACAAGTAAGTCTAACTGAAGGATCTCCTTTTGTATCATAATGGCGTGTCTTCTTAGTTTCCTGATTGATTTATCCTCTCTTTGAATTAAAATGTTGTTTATACCACAACTGCTATTAAGGATAGAAATTAAGAGGTGTGCTACCCAGCTTATAATCCATCCATTTGTTAGTTTGTATGTCCTAAGTACCAGGTGCAGATTCATTTTACACCTAAACCAATTTCATTTTGACTGTAGGGGTATTTGCCCGATAATGCACCCCTTTCTTTATAGGCTGATGCCTAATGGTCATAGAACCTCTACTTAAAGTTGCAACAATTAGTGCAGAAGGGCCAATCAACGTTTATGGACCAGTATCAAAATATATTTAAGTTTGGATATTTCATCAAGACTAACATCTATTTTTATTATCTACAAATAATCCCCCTAGATAAACATTATTTCAGCTGATATTCCTCTTGAAACACGGTGGATCTTAAAATTATAAAAGTGGATTTCCCCTTTTTGAAGCTTTGAACTGAATTTACACTTCTTAATGCTGAAATTGATAGTTTATCCATAAATTTTAAGAAAATAGGTATGTCAAAGAAGATGTTATGCCAAATGTTGCCTTGATAGCTCAGAAAAAGTTAAAAATTTCCTATTTTCTCTCTACAGTCCTTGTTGCCCCTTTAAGAAGGAATTAACATCATGGGTGTAGACATAACAAAAACTGTTCTGTTCTACGTTATTTGCTACTTGGGAGAATTGCTGTTTTCTAGTTTACACTTTGAAACTTATGGCACTGAGAGATCATTGCCTCCAACTGTTGGGGTCATATTTGTAAGTTTACTTTCAATGATTTCAGTGCTGATGAGGTCCAACAGATAGTAAGTGGTAAACTAGCACTCAAGTACGCTGGACCTGAAATTGAGGCCCTGAAAAGCATTGCTCAAGCCAGCAATAAGAGGTCATTGGCAGATTTTCAAAAGGTGAGCTCTTTCATATCCCAATAAAATCAGTTGTGCGCTGTAACCAATTATACCAATTATAGTTTAAGTCCAAATATAATGGGTGTATATTTTGCCAAAAGGAATTAATGATATGGTAGAAGACTCAAACTATTAAATTGTCACTGAACTAATCATAGGATATGCTGTATTTATTATTTATATATATTGTATTGTTTTTTGTTTACCATCAATGAAGGTGAGCAATACCTCTTGGGTATATCCTCTTGGGTATATCCCGTATATATACTGTCGTAATTAATCCATGTAATCATGGAAGGCAGACCCAGGAACCCCTCCTTAGAGGAGCCCTGTGTTCTTTTATGTGCACCCATACACAGACATACAGGTACACACCACAGCCTTTTACGAGTTGTGGAGAACTCAGTCAAACACCTTGAAGTATTTTACGCAAACAAGCAAATTATGTCTTGCCTGAACTGGGGATCGAATCCTGGACCTATTGTGTAAGAGGTACACACGCTACCGCTGAGCTATACGGGTGGACTATATTGTTAGTTATTGTCAGTCTGCCTATCCATCTTTCAGAGGACTCAGACAAGACATGTTAACTCATCTCATGGATACCCATTTTGTTACAAGACATGGTATTTCGATTTGCATATGGTAGCAAGCTTGTTGTACTGAAACCTAATAATTAGATTGTCATATTTGAATATACATGTATTGTGTTATTACAGACCCTGGCTTCATACAAGTCTGAGCTTGTAGATGACCCTATTGTAAGAGCACATCTGGATTCCTTGTATGATAACCTACTGGAACAGAATCTCTGTAGAATCATTGAACCATTCTCTAAGGTGCAAGTCACACATGTTGCAAACCTTATCAAACTGAGCATCGTAAGTACTTGTATTATAAAGTTATTTTTATCTATCCATTTTATTTATTTGTATATTGCTATTGATTGTATTTTGATTACAAAACCCTTTACCTGTAGTACTGGCACATTTCATTTGGCTTCAATTTGAAAAGCCCTCCTTATGAATATGTATTATTCACATGCAGTATTAGTATTTAAGAATGCTTTCATATTTGCAGGAAGTTGTTGAAAAGAAGTTATCTCAGATGATTCTAGACAGAAAATTCAGTGGTAAGTTAGAGCCCAGAATACACAATGTGGTTTCATGCAATTCTTGCTCTTTTTTAATAGAGCAGTAACTTACAAAAAGTATGTATTGCTATGTTAAATCATTGATTAGGGTATTTGATGTTTTCCTTATGTGCTGTTAGATATTTCATTTGAACATTGAAAATTATAGTTGAAATACTTGCTATGATGATTGTTAATGTATTTTTTGGAGGAAAGAAATACTCAGCTCCAGCAGGTGAAATTTTCTCATTGTAGTTCAATCATTTTAAATGAAAATGCTAAAATGACTGATTGGGTTTGTTGTATTAACTCAGTTGATTTTTCTTCATTTTGTGTCAAACTTCTGGAAATACATGAGTAAAAGTTTTCAGTTGTAGGATCAACTACTGATGTATGGGTTCTTCTAAATCATCAATAGTATTTTAACATGGCTAAACTCCTGCTCTGTTTGGTGGTGAGAACTGTTACATGAAGTTGATTTGTAAAAATCTGCTTTCAGGTATCTTGGACCAAGGACAGGGAGTCCTCATCATATTTGAAGAAACACCCGAAGACAAAACATACGGAAACTCAATAGACATTATACACAGTATGGGAAAAGTTGTGGACTCTTTATATAGCAAAGCCAAAAAACTATCATAATCTGAGAATTTGTTATTTGAACAGTTATTGATTTGTCAATATTATTACATTTATTACAATGAGTATGTGTAGATAATAGGAGAATTTACTGGCAAAGATGGCATATGTAACAGTTCCAAAATAAATTAGAACTATTGGCAAATGTGCTGCGCCAAATTCTGCATATCGGCATGGAGAAATTTCATAAGAATTCCATATTTTTCTGCTCCAAAGGAATGTCAGTTTAGTGACACCATGGTTGTAGACAGTGCATTTGAAGGGACTTACTCCTTGGAAAAAGCATGCATGATACTAGGGGCCAGAAATTCTAAAATGACTACCAATATCACTGCTCCAAGTCAAGTATGACATTGTAATAAAAAAAATTATAAGATTATTGCATACTTTTTGATTTTTGAAGATGCCCTATTCCAATAAAAAAGGAAGATGGGTGTGGCAGTGGCATCATGCGATCAGAAATTCTATAATGCCTATTATCACAAGGGCGAATAAAGAGTTTGACTTAGTTTGACAATTAAATAGGTTGTGATGATGATACAAATAATCTCATTTCGGTGGGCAAAATGTTGAAATCTTGGCCCTCAAGCCTTTGGCCTTATGACCACTTAATTTCTTATATGCAAATAGTTGTTTTTTAGTTTGTTTATTTATTTATCATATTAGAATCGTAACAAAGATCTAGTTTTTGTGACTTTTGCAGGTATATGACATCGGACTCTCCTGACCATTGCCAAAGACCTCAATCGCTTAACAATGAACAGAATAAAATTTTCAGTCATATATTGCGTCATGAATCATAGAATCTCCATCTTTATTCCTAAACTAAAACTGCTCCAAGTAGTATTCCAAAGATATTTCCAAACTATGTTTGATATTGCAATACAATGAATGTATAACAATCAAGGACTATTTCTATTTCACACTTTGTTGCTCTCAGGGGTCATATTGCCAGTCTTTTGCTGGTTGGCGTGCGTGTGGTGTAAGGGTGGTTGATCGCCACATAAATCAGTTCTCGTCATTAAGGAAAACCGCTAACCCGATCAACTTGAAATTTTAACAGATGCAAGTATACTGCACATTATCAACAGAAAGGATGAGTCTGGGAATGAGTCTGGGTATCGACTTAGAAAATATTGAAAATTGTAATGTCTGAAAAACTCAATCACACATACATTATTAAACTTCAATATCTTATCCTTCTAATATGAGATTGCAAAAATATCAATTTGAATCACAATTGATGAAGAATATTGGGATCAAAGACCGTGCATATAACTTTGTCAGAATTGAAAAAAAAAATCAATGGCAAATATTAAATAAATTATTTATACAAAAAGTGTGAAACATATCCTCCAAAACATTGCTTACTTTCTTTGTATAGACATTGAATGGTATTTCTGGATAAGTGAATTGGTGTTTATCTGGGTAATCAAGGGATTATAGTCACTCAAAGGTACTGAGCATCCAGTTTTGACACTTCAATTGTGTTGGTGAAGTTACACATATTTCAGTCAAATTCATGCTGAACACAACATTTTGGTTTCAATTTTATAATCTCTATACATGGCCCAGGTGATGAAGAGTCCGAATCAGTCAAAAAACCTAAACCGGAAAACTGTGCTCAATGTGAAAACTAAAAGTGAAGCAACTTTTTTTCTGATATTTCTTACATCAAATGGCAGCCATCTTGTTTTCCCCCTCAAATTAAACTGGCGGGAAATTCAAAAATTTGAAAAAGATTTTAATCCTTAAATATATTTCAAAATTTTGATTTTCTTTTTAATTCTTCATGGATCTTAAGTTATTTCTTCTTTGTATGTCATACATGTTGCCATTGGTGTTTTTTCTATGATAATGACCCTTTTTTATTTGTTAAGATACTTATTCTGACTCTCAGCAGGGGGTTAATTATGCATCAAAACTCATGAAAAAGTAAATATACTTATCAAATATAACTAGGAAAGCAATAAAAAACATATTTCACATACATTTGACTGAGGGACCAAAAGGGCATATATCCAGACACACCCTTTGGACACAGGCAGTGGGTGATTGCAATATCACACCATATGTGCTAAATTGAACCCTACATTCAAGTATGCTATCATAAGTAACAAGTCTTAACAGCATTTCGGAAGCGTAGAATTAATCATATATTTCTTTCTTAGTGGATATGAATAAATGGACGGAGTAGACTGAGGAATAACATCCTTTTTATCAACGATTGTTCATGGAATAACATCCTTTTTATCAAAGATTGTTCATAAATAATTAATATATATGCACATGTGATACGGTATGCTCAATTGTTGAGACGCTTTTAATATGGCACACATCGGTACTGAATTGCAGTACCCCAAGAGTATAAATAATGTACGTAATTTAATGCTACGTTAAACGTATAAAGCGTACAACGAAAAAATAAGAAAGGTCTAGCTGTGAAATGCTCTGTCCGTAGATACAGCATGTACAGTGAATGATCAGATGATCTACTTATGCAAATCTAGAACTATAATTCGGTCTATCAGTATGATTTCCTTCTCTCGTGTTGATGGACTACCTTCATTGTTCAAAATACAGTTTGACAACGTCCACACGATGAACTTGGAATATACTAAGCTACAGATGATGCGTGGTTATGTATGTCTATGAAGTCCAAATTTTCCTTTACTATTTCTTATCAAATGTGTCTTTTCCTTTGTAAGCGCCGACATAACCGTCTCCACTAGCTCGGTCTTCTCTACCTTCGATTCCCTTGCCTTTGCCACTGGCATCAAATCTCTCTTTATGGGCACCAGTGTATTGAGAAGCGTCGGTCATCTTTCCAACTCCGCCTGTTTTACTGGTTCCCTGAAACACATCATAGATCTTATAAGACACGTGTACCTGTACTTCATGTACTTGTAATTTGAATATCCATTTGTTCATCAAACTGACCCTATTAGAACACATGTAACGTCTGAACGTGTACGCGTTCGAGGACTGAGTTAACTACCGAAATTTGAAATCGAGAAAATCGAATATGAGATATGACAATGATTGTGACTTAACTGTTTATGCCACTTCTTTTTCCATATGTTTGTAACGTTAACTGAACCATTAAGTTAAATCTTTTTTCTAAATCTAAATCTAAATCTGAAACTTGTGTTATGTAAGTCTTGTGACCAGAAATTAATCCTCAGCCTCAATTACATAATGATTTACCTGATTGCATAATAAGGATCAGTTGATTGAGAGGATACTTCACAAATTTACCCATGCGCGAAAAACAGTGATTATTCAGTGGCCCATGATCACATATAAACAAATGACATATCATTGGAAATAGGAGACACGTGGGGCTTCATGGTAAACTAAATGAAATTGATGTAATTATCACTGCTTTTGTGGTTTTACAATGTTTTTGCTTGTTGCGTTTTTGGGACGCATTGTATATACAGTTACAGTAGTTCGATCATGAATGCAAGGTGAAACCATGTTTTAAAAGTTTTTAGATGGCGATGAAAACGTTTTAAAATGTTTTAGTTCCTTTTGCATTTTGAGAATCATTTCTGTTCAAATACATTAATGAAGAACTGGTGCATGAACTATCACTACAGTGTATTTAAAACATATTCATATTTTTGTTTGAATAACCATTTTTATCCTATACCAGGTAGAGTTTTAGGGAGATAAGTTGGTAAGATATATCCCGTATCCTGATTTTGAGGTTTCCATATCCAGAACCTCCCGCCATCTCTCCCGCTTCGGTGCATATCCTCCCGCTTCGGTGCATATCTTCCCGCTTCCGGTTAGTGGAAATGCAATAAAATGACTGCATATGAATGTTTTTTTTATTTTTACACCTTGTACTATTGAAATGGCCATATGCCCCTGAAAACTCTACTTGGTATAGGATAAAGCAGTTATGTATGGTCGGTTTGGATATTGGGTTCATCCCTCGTGATCCCTCATGTAGATATGCATATCTCCCTCTGGATAAACCCCATATCCAAAACCTCCCAGTACATAACCCTTATTGATATAACTTTAAGAAATACACGTTTATATCCCAGCAGTTGAAAGTCCAATCCAAAGCATTTGTGACAGTTATAGCTTCCTGTTGTTAGAAACAGTAATTGTTAATGCAGAGGTAGATTAAGAGAGGACATTTTAACTTATTTCTAAACCGGTTCATTTAAGAAGGCCCAAAGCCAATATTGGGAGAGGCTTCATCAACCTGATGTTACATTGCAAAGCCTCTAGTTATTAATGAGTGAGGAATGTAGGGCCCATGGAGCAGTTGTAAAAGTCTGAGGTACGAGAAACCAATCGGCGTTCCTCAGACCAGTCACCTTTTATTAAAGTTTTTAACTGTTCCATTCTACTAAAAAATAATTGTTTCAACGCCGATGGTTCTCTCTTCAATCGACATGTCGCATCACTGTTTCTAATAATAGGAAGCTGTAACTTCCACAACCTTTCAAGTGCTGGAATATAAAGATATCCAAATAGGCACAATAGCACCCACATATTTTGAATGCAATATATCTTTTTCAACAATTCTTATGACTGGTGTACTAAAAATGTCTAAAACAATGTTTTTAATCCAAACGAGTAAAGTTTAAATGATAAATATTTTGCAATATATCCTTTGAAGAAGAAGAATCACTTCATGCGATGGTTAAATTTTACCGTTGTTCCAGCCGTAGAAACGCCACCACCCTTGACTTTCTCTATCATGGCGTCAAATGCGGCGTCATCGTCTGCCAACTTATGATCTTTCTTGTACTTAGGGGCCAACACTTTTAGGAATTCCTTAAATTGTGCAAGGCTCATCTCTCTGAAATATACAATTGGAATGAAAGTGAAATGGTCGCTTGAATGTGTTTGGTAGCGCGCGATCATTTTGCATTTTTATGTAAAAGGTCCACACGACAGCTATTTCACACCGTACAAGTGAAAGTGAAAGGAAGTAGTGCATGCTCCATTATACTTCCTCATGAAGAAAAATTAATTCATCTGATTTTTCAAAATGAATATACTGCTTTTATTCTTACATTTATATGTACACTAGTATCTTGTTGACATATATATTCAGCACTGTTTTGAAGAATGGGCCACTTGTTAGGGTCAATATTGAATCATGAAGAAAATAGTTTATCAGCCTCATTGGAGGCTCATATCGGTTGTAACATGCGGCCAATATCGTTTATCACCCACATATCCGTATGATAAACGAATTTGATTTTTTAGAAATTTCGATTGTAATCAGCATGGGATAAAAAACCAAATATCAGATATTTTCTCCTGATATCTTCATGATCTTATTACCTCGTAGATATGAAATATCTACACTCATTATGGTCAAATTCCTAAAAATTTCAAGGTCAGATTTCATATGTTACCTTAGATTACATTTAGCATTTAATATACAGGATGGGCCAAAAACGTCTATATTCTTTTATTGATATGGCGGAATTACTTAAATGTATTTCTTCATGAAACGGGATATATAGTTTCCAGCAGGGGTTTCTGAATAAGAACGGTTGGCACGCACTCTGAGGCGTCGAAATGTAATTTTTCAGGATGATATTCGAAACAAATGAATATTTTACACTGATATTGCATGACAGAATATGCGTAAAATAACACGGAATAATAAAAACCAGCCTGCCATATTATACAGCCAATCAGATAAGAGTGGCACAAATGGTATTCATGTTTTACTTGTAAAATGTTATTGGGCCAGGCTGACTGTTCAGTTTGAAACAATTTCGAAGAACTGTACGAAGCAGAATAATTATCAAAATCCATAAACGTATCCGAGTCTCAACACAGGAAAACCGGTCTTAACACAAAAATTAAAATAGTCAGGCCCGTAGCCAGAGGGGGTTCGCAGGGTTCGGGCGAACCCCCCCCCCCCTTGGCCAAAAATTCTTTCAAAATCATGCAGTTTTTTACCATTTTGAGCACTTCTCAAGTGATTTTAGCCATATTTTAGCCAAAATTGTCAAATGTGAACCCCCTGAAATTTTTTGAAAAATGAACCCCCCTTGGCAAATCCTGGCTACGGGTCTGATAGTGCTACACAGAGACATATAAACTGCTTTATATGTCTCTGTACTACATAACCAAATATGTTCCCAAGATTAAGAGGAAAATGTGCTGAATTCAAATCCGTCCTTTTGGTCTATATCTGCATTTGAAAGTCCTCTTTATGCTTTTTACATGTTTTAGAATAAACTAAAAATTTGATTGAGTTCACAAAACAATAACATCCGCATAGAACCTGTTTTTGTATATATTTATAAACGACAAAATTCAATTCACTTACTTTTTACTTCCCATTATTTTGCTGAAAGTAATATCGATATCAGTTGTGGTAAGGCTCTTTCCAACAATCTTACAATCCTTCATTAGCTTTGTTAGATTTTTGTTGTTCACCGTTTTTAAGTCTCCTTGTGAAGCCCTTCCCTGAATGCAGAACTTTTGAAACTTAGTTGCCAAATCGTCCATGATCTGAAATGTAAAAAATGGTAAGGCTATGAATGTATCATCAAAACCTGGAGTGGGTTTCATTTCTTGTAATGTGTTAGAGACATTCATGTAAATACACCTTTTAAAGAAAGATAGATGGCCAGGTATTCACAGCCAGGTTTGGTAATAGGAAGGATCGCATTGAGTCGAATTCGTTTCTGTGCTAAATGCATGACAAAATTGATAATCATAATAATCATAATTCAGAAACACGAAGTCACAATGAGGGCATCCAAAGCCCGAACTTGACGCATAAATGAGGGTAATACGAAGTTTTACTTTGTTTTTTTTCTGTTCGCTATTAACGTCTTGAAACAGTAGCCTAATTTCAGACGGGACCGCACGCTCGCTATTTTAGAGGTTACGATCAAGGAAATAACTAATATTTGAGAATTTCGTTTAAATAGTTCTATCCAGCTTAGAGACTTCTTTTATTACTACATAGAAATGGTATATACTGGGAGTATAAGTAGGGTAGAATTTTTAGTATAACATTGTTAAAATCACATAAACAAGTACAATTTAGTACAATTCAAAGTATGGCGTCAATGCTATCGTGTAGGTCTACACTTCCAGTTCTGAGGTCGTACAAATGAAATGTAGTTCAAAGATCACGAATTTCTTATCTATTATCAGCGAGAACGACGTCGTTGATTTTTAACTTTTTTCGAAAAGCAGGCTCTTTTCAAGCCAAATAAATTTGATGTCTGCCTCTTACAATATGCTCAGTAAAATACTGACTAGTTTATATACAGTAAAACCTGTCTAATCCGAACACCCATGGGGCAAGCCAAAAGCGTTCAAATTGGCAGGTGTTCAAATTTCGAGGATATTGTTGGTCGGGGGGGGGGGGATTTTTATTGTTCAGTCCACTATATTGAACAATTAATACTAAGTCAGAAAACAATACATGTTGTTGATGAGTTTATTCTACAATAGGCCTATAGCCTATATGTTTTATTTACATTTTGAACAATTTCATTATTTTAGTAAAAATAACTCATATTTGAGTAGATACATATCCTCTTCAAGTAAAAAGAATTTTTCATGAGTGTTCATTCGAGATGATGTATAATCCTTCAAAATATCAAGGGCATTCAGGATGTCAGATGTATGCCTTTTTAGGAGGCATTTTAGTGATAGGACATTGTGAAGACAAGTTGAATTTTTCTGTTTCTCGTGATATAATCTTGTCTGCAAATGTCATCTGTGTTGTCCTTGTGATTATAAAACATTTACTGATTGAATCTTAGCTATCATAACAGACCCATGGGATATAAAACAGGTAAGACCTGTTCATAATCCAAATCAAAAACATCCAGTTAATTTACAATAAGGATAAACCAATTATCACCCAGATTCTCACCTATATCTCTTAATCCAAATCAAAAACATCCAGGTAATTTCCAATAATGATAAATCAATTAACTTCACACCTTTCTCTAAAATCCAAACATAAAATATTCAGTTCTTTTCTAATAGGATAAACCAATTATCTCCTGTATTCACACCTTTCCAAAACATCCCGTTGTTTTCCACAAATTAGGGATGTCACTGAGACTAAATAATTTATTTATGACAATATTGGTACTTTGATTACATTGTATATGTAAAGATAAATAACAACTATAACATTGACTCAATATGTGGCTATTATTGAAATGTCCAGACATTTGATTTATGATAAAAATGTTCAGATTAGACAGGTCACTTTTTCAAATCTGGTTGTTCACTGTTCAGATTAGGGGGTGTTCAGATTTCAAGGTTTTTTTAACATGGGAGTCGATGGGAGGAAAAAATGGAAAAGGTGTTCATATTGGAAGGTGTTCAGATTAGCCAGGTGTTCAGATATACAGGTTCTACTGTATGTAACTTAATGCACGTGCTATACTAAACTCAACAGCCCGAGTATAAAACACTGTTTTAGAATGATTCAATGTAACATTAATCGATAACAAAAATTAGTCGACTTCATTCTGCGCATGTGCAAAAGCGGAACAAGAAAAAGCGAACCGTGCGCAGGTTGTCTCTTCTCCAATCCACATAATAATCATGGGCTTTCAATCTATATATATAATTATAAACCTATTTGTACTATGAACTTAATACTTTATCTATGCATTGCTAATGTTTGCCATATTATAATTTAAATCCTACAATAGCCTAAATCAGTATACGTACAAAACTGAGTACAGGGCTAGTATTGCGATCTACTATGCAATCGACTTAAAATGGTCGATGCTGCAACACGGTTGCTATGGTAAATGTTTACAACACTCTCAGTGTATTTTTCTACCGAATGTTTGAAAGCGATTAATGATCGATCTAAAGCAGAAAGGGATATGAATGCATTTGCATATTATCGTCAAACATGTACCACTTACCTTATCTTGAACTGCGAACGAACACGGTCTTGTTATCGGTTGGAATTCTTCGATTTAAAGAGCAAATTGTTGGGCGGAACCTGACGCTAAGTAAATCCACAATGGCGAAGGACGCACGATAAGGTCAAAATCACAAAGCTCATCCAATCATATGATCGCTTTGATATGAAGTACGATATTGCAAATCGACTTTGTATTGATCAAAAGAATAGGTTGAATGCAATATTTATATAGCCGTATGTAAGCTTACTGTCTGTAGGTAGAATAAATAATCTGATTACTAGCATATTTATTTATTAAGGTAGTCGGTAGTAAAGAGAATAAATCGATACTGATCAAATGTTTGGAGCACCGGGTACAAAATAAATATTTCATACTTTTATTTGTAGATATCAATCTACTTTTCTGTTGTTACTAGTAATATAACTCTTACAGCTCGTATTCGCATGATGGTATTTGCATGATGGTATTCGCATGATGGAATTCGCATGATGGTATTCGCATGATGGTATTCGCGAATGCAATGATGTCTATCTCTGGCCAGAGATTTCTACGACGGATGTCCTTGGCGAATGCAACTTTCGGCTGTCGGCCATATATCAATCTACTCTACGGTTGTTAGTGTAGCGACCCGGGGTTTATATATTACATTTCATTCCAGGGTTTAAACTTTTATTCTATTACTTTTCCCCGGGTACGCTGTTTTCCCTCTGCTCAAAGAGTGCCGCTCCAGGGTATAACTTTTTTATTGAATTTACCTCATATTTTGGGTTACTTATTGAATATTTTATTCAAATCATTGTATGTACAAACGCACTTTTAAATATTATTCTCATATTCTCCCTACCTATTTTGTGTCCTTAGCGGACGATCACGTGACAATAACATTTAGATCCTAAATTCTGCTAACGCCTTTGACAGTGCGCTCGATCCAACCAACCTGAAGACATCGTGGATTTCTAATATCAAGTGAATTAAATATTTCATTCAAGAATTTGGATATATTTGGATATTTCGTAACGTGATCGTCCGTAATGGATCCCAAATGGCTTTGGGTAAGTGAATTATGATATGTGCGCTTTATGATCGCTGATTGTTAACTTCAAATTACAAACTTTTAAAAGAAAAACTTTGCGTTTTTCTGTTTAGTGCCAATTGTGGTCACTTTTTGGTAGTTTTGAAAGATGGCAGCACCTCCTTGAGACCCTATTAAGACCATTTGCCTGTTCTGGGAAGTTTATATTGAAGTACTTTTAACTCCCATATTATTCTATAGAGGGAGTTATTTACAATAAAAACATATCATTAATCAATGCTATCAATATTATATCACTGATTTCAATATCAATCAACACAGGATCGAATTTACGTTGCTAGACCGCCTGCATTTCACTCACGCTATCATCTGTTTGTTTTATTATTATTAAATATATACGGGTTGATATTCTTTCATCCCGTACGTGATAATTAGGTAATCGTAGCCCTAATTCATTACATTGGTTGCAACGCGGTGGGATTTCTCTTGTGTTGTTTGTTTTATTGATTATTAGTTGTTTCATTTCTGAAGTTGATTGTTTTCGTCATGGAACGTGAAATTCCTAGTCCAGCTTCAAGTTATGCAACAGGAGGGTTGGACGAGCCACTCCGGCCACCTCATGTTGAAACTGAGGAGGTCGTTAATCAAGATAATGATAGTGACATTAGCGATTTACGCTTTGATGATGATGACGGGGTGGTTCAATTAGGTAAACAGGAACAAAATGCTGAAAATGATATGTTTGCCAAGGCTGATACAGTTGGAAAGCTGGCGCCTATCAGGCATAATTTTGATATATCATCTGAGAGCCAGGCGCTGCAGTTGCGCAAGACTGAACCAGATTCTTGCGGCAATGCAGATCGCCAAGTTCTGGCAAGCACTGCTAATGATAAAAAATTACCGCCCTCATCAGACAAACCACCAAGGGTACTTAGTGAACAGAAGCACAGTGGCCCTATTGGCTCTTCTATTAGTGCAGCAGTAGTCAAGACTTCTCAGAGTTCTGATAAGGCTCCAAAGCGTGCAGTTGATTGGACACTTCCTGCACCCATGCGCACTCCTGAGACAGTAATGGCTGCTCAAAATAAAGCGCCTCGGCCTATGCTTGATCCTTACCCAGACGCAAGTAGTTTTTTCAATACAGTTGAAAAACATTATAAGGACGCAACATTATCACAGTTAAATGTGCACATGGACTCTAAACCTGTCAGCAAGAAGGCGGTTGAACCGGCTTACCTTATGCAAGCCCCGCGTTCCCCCTCTCCTTTTCATCAGTTTGCACCAGCTGATCATGTTACTACTGTACCTGCATGTACTTTTTAGCACCATACTGTAATGACAACAGGTTCTGAGTATCTTCAGTCTGGTCCAACTCATTTTTATGGTGAGGTTTCTAACTATCCTGGGGCAATACCGCATGGTGGTTCATTCCTAGATGCGAATGCGCAGGATGGTACACGGCCGCGTACACGCTCCACAAAAATGCCACATGCTCGGATGACTGCTCCTGCCTCCACTTATTTTGTGTCGAGTGCAGAACAGCAGACTCCTTATTTGGGTCATGAAGGTTATTATACAGCTGCTGAGTTTCCACAAGCCTCTGGGGGTACAGATGAAAAATCAACTCAGCGCCTTCCTTATTCAGTGAAGCGTGTTCCAAATTTCAGAGTGGCTCCGGATGATGAACATGTGTTAGTGCCACGTTCATTATTGAACTCATATTTCTCACAATTAGGTCAAGCAAAGCACTCCACTCCAGTGGATGTGCCAGAGAAGGCGCTTCCTCCTGTTGCTTTGCCTGTTGTACAAAGAAATGCTGGCGCTCCAATGCTGCCACCTATATTCAACCACACTGCAGACTCAACTCAATCATCCTCTGTCAAATTGCCGAAGATTGCTCCCTTTAGTGGAAAGAGCAATTTGAAAGATTATTTGGCACAATTTGAAATGGTTGCTTCATGTCATGGTTGGTCGCCTTCAGTTAAAGCTGCGCATTTAGCTGGTAACTTGCAAGGCAACGCTTTGACTGTCCTGACCGGGTTGAGTCAACATGAGCGTTTTGACTTTGATATTCTTGTTGATGCTTTGAGGTATCGCTTTGACCCTCCTGACCTTGGCGATACAGAAAGGGCAGAGTTGAGGGGGCGGATTCGCAAAGCAAAAGAACCTTTGACTGACTTAGCGCAGGCCATAAGAGGCTTGATGCGGGAGGCTTTTCCAAAAGAGTCAAATGAAGGTCTTGAATATCATGCCATGACAAAATTTATTGAGGCGCTAAATGATGTAAACATGGAATGGGAAGTTGCCAGCAAAAATCCCAGAAATTTAAATGATGCCTTACTGCATGCTTTGAGATATGAGGCCTTTCATAAAGGTCGGGCCCAACGCACAAGTAAGGTTGATATTCAACCAGCGCGAGTGATGGCCATTTCTCCAGAGCAGCAGTTGGTGCAGACTATGCTTGAAGGATTTTCAAAATTGACTGATGCACTGACTGCTTCTACAGCTTCCGCTGAGAAGGGGTTTTGTGTATTATGCAACCAGCGCACTGGCCATGGACCTCGTAATTGCCCCGAAAGGGTCAAAAGATCCCGTGCCCCTGGTGTCAAGTGTTGCTGGAAGTGTGGAGATGATAGTCATTTTTTGAATGATTGCCCTTCAATTGCCAAGAATAACACTAAATCTGATTCAAAAAACTAGCTCCTGCTGGGACTGCGCCCGAAGTCTCAGCAAATGAAGAGTGGGCAGGGCCTGTATCTGATAACACTGTGCATGATGGGTTTTATTTAATACTTAGAATAGGAAAATTACAAATCCCTGCACTTATTGATACTGGCGCCACTTATAGTTTAATCTCACCTGAGGTAGCAAGACTTATTAGTGCCTCTGTAGATGAAAGTTGTCCACCTGGAGTTACAGTTGCCAACGGTGCTAGAATGTCAAGCCTTGGCAAGGCTGAAATCAGATTTTCGATGGGACAAGGGGTCAACATAACCTACAGTATGGTTGTAGCTAGGGGTCACACGGTTTGAGATTTCACGGTTCGGTTCGGTTATTGTATTTCACAGTTCGGTTCGGTTCTGATTGCGGTTCTCACGGGCCTCGTGAAATGAGCAAAAATATATGAAATTGATCCGAAAATCAGAAAACATACTAAGTGTGTCACAGTGTTTTATTGTATTCAGTATTGTAAGTATCCAGTTTCACACAATGTTTGTTTGTTTGTTCAGTCTTTTTTCCCTCCCTCCCTCCCAAAATATCTGTGTGTTCACTGTGTTGATCTTCTTGTTTGATGTTCAAGTTTTTTCAACACATAAAATAACTTGTCAACTGTTGGCAAAATTAGCACAGTACTTCACTAAACTGAATAAATGTTTTCTTTAGAAATATAACTTAAGTTCAACACTTTGTCAGGACTCAACATGGATCAAAGGCGAACGTAATCAGGCCTGTCAACTGTCCCGCAATTTGCGTATTTGTCACGCATTTGCTGAAGAATTTGAAGTCACGCCAGTTTTTTTTGCGTGACAGAAAATGTCACGCAAAATACGCATTTTACCTGGTAATTGTCAAGCAAAAATATTTCTGTAAAAATTTTTTCGAAATATGTTTACGATACGGTAAAAATACGAGCGCCGGAAAAAACCGAACGCAATTTGTTCGGATATGTCACGCGAATCCCCTATGTGTCACGCATGTTCATTGGAAATTTTTCGTGTACCCCTCATATTAGGTGGTCCCAAGTTGACAGCCCTGCGTAATACACAGAACGTGACTCGTTCGCAAATTCAATGCATTCGGCGTTCGGCTTTTTACAGTATACTGTTCTATCAACCAATAGGATTGCGCGAAATGTTTAGCGTAGGTCACTTCCGGGTCAATATGCCGGTGAAATTTATCAACATTTTCCTTTTGTTTTTGTTATCTGCCGTCTATATCAGAAGATCGTCGTAAATATCAGGTATGGTTCGCATTATTGCATGATGATTAACGATTCCAGACGATGTTTAGTTAATTGGTATTACACGAAAGCTTGAAATGGAGTTTAATTCCGAGTTTACATTTTTATTT